CTCTTACCTCTACCTCAGTCTGAATTGCAATCCTGCCTCTAGGTATCTCAGAAGGAGACTGTGCCTGAGAGATGTCTCCTCTTGTCTTATATTCCCCTCTAGAGCTAGGATTAAAGGCGTGCACTGCCCAGTTTCTATGGCAACTACTGTGGCTATTGGGATTAAAGGTGTGTGTCACCACTACCTGGTTTGTCTGTAAGGCTGACTAGTGTGGCTGGCTGTTTTATTAAAACACAAATGCAGCATCACTGCAGGGATAAGAGGGCCAAGAATTACAGGACAGACGTACTGCTTGTTTTCTTTTCTTCACCTCAAATCATCTTAAAAGGAACTTGATCTGATTAAGGACAGCTCTTGGTAGAGAAGGTCCTAACTTAACTTTACATACTTAAATAAAGTAAAATAAAAATACTGGTCAAATATAATACAATTATATAAAGAAAATTTTATTTTTATTAACCTCTTCTCGTGCTTAAAATGCTTAATGTCTCAAAAATACTTTTACCTAAAATAACATCAATCAAAATTCTGAATTTTAGATTTCCATTTACACTAGCTAGAGACTTACTTATAATACAGGTATTTGCATTAAATACAACTAAAGTAGAAAAAAAACTAAAGTAGAAAGGACTTGGGCAAAACATGCCAGCTATGATGAGTAAACGTGCTGTCTAAAGACACCCATGCTTAGAATTTAAATTATAATTTAATTGACCATAGCTAGTCAGTTTAGCAAAGTATGCACCGTGAATTGCAAATAACAGCTACAGAACTGACCCTGTGGCCGAAGTTCACGAGCTGTCTAGAACACATGATCTTTCCATCCCAAAAAGTCAAGCTTTACGAAATCATTACAAGAATCACAGCCCATTTTTCTCCTAAAGGAATAGAGTCAATGATAGAGAAAAAACTTGAACAATGCATGGTAAGTTGCAGAAATATTTCATTCACTATGTACACAGAGAGAAAGAGTGGTAGAGAGTCACACATACACAATACTAAATAGCTTGATGTTTGAAAGTAAGAATTTCATACACATGGCAATACAAAGAAATTTGTATTTTAAAAAGTCTCCGGGGCTGGAGATGGCTCAGAGACTCAGAAGAGTCTCGCTGATCTGAAGGGACCCAAATTCCATTTCCAGAGCCTATGACAGGCAGCCCAGAATCATCTCTAATTTCAGCTCCAGTAGATCAATGATTTCTCTGGACTCCATCAACCACATGCACATACACAAACCCATACTCATAAACACGCATAATTTATAAAATTAATCTACTCAATACAAAACACAGCATTAATTATTAGCTTTTTTAAGACAACATCTTTTTTTTTAAAGATTTATTTATTTATTATGTATACAACACTCTGCCTCCATGTATGCCCGCACGCCAGAGGAGGGCGCCAGACCTCAGTACAGATGGCTGTGAGCCACCATGTGGTTGCTGGGAATTGAACTCAGGACCTCTGGAAGAACAACCAGTGCTCTTAACCTCTGAGCCATCTCCCCAGCCCCCTTAAGACAACATCTTTAGCAAATGAAATTCACACAATTTTAAAGTTCGGTAACTTTGAATTCCAAACTTTGTGTGCTACCTCATATGTTTAAGAAAGTGATGTGCCTAAATTAAAACTGAATGCTGCCTGAAAGAAGTTCTAGAAAGGGTAAACTATATCTAGAGAGGGTAAGCTGTATCTAAAAAGGGTAAGCTATATCAGAAATTCATAAAATGAAAGCCAATTATTCAGCTTATCCAATATAATTTATAATTGATGAAATTACAATTTTACTAGGAACTACACTGAGTTCTTATCTGGAAAAAAATTATACCAGAAAAAATTTAATGTACACATTTAATATATCATTTAATTCATGTATCTTAATTGGAAGCTAACTTCAAAAAACATCTAAACTAAACTATCTAGTCTGTCTCCAACAATAAAGTCCACCAATATGGTGACATTTTGTTTGTGATCTAACAAATAAAGCTTGCCTGAGGATCAGAATGTGGAGAGAGCCACTAATTAGCCATAGAGGTTAGGCAGGGGTGGCACACACCTTTAAGCCCAGCACTACGGAGACTGAGACAGATGAATGAATCTCTGAGAGGTCAAGGCCACCCTGAGCTACAATAGATTGATCCAGTCTCAAAGAGAAACACAGCCCAGTAGTGGTGGCTCATACCTTTAATCCCAGTATTTGGTTATCATACGCCTTTTATCCCAACAGGGAGGGATATGGTTGGGCAGAGAGAGGAATATAAGGCATTCAGTCTGAGCACTTGTAAAGACAGGATACCCCATTTGGTCTAAGGTAAGAACTAGTGGCTGGCACCTCTGATTCTCTAATCTTTCAGCTTTTACCCCCTAATATCTGGGTTTTTATTATTAAGACCAATTAGATTCATGCCACACATCAAGATATTAAATACTTAACTCTTACAGAGGGACAGGTGAGATGGCTCAACAGGTAAAGGCACTTGCCCCAAACCTGATAACCCGAGTTCAATCCCTAAGCTCTACATGGTAGGATTACTGCAAATTATCCTCTGACATCCATACCTATGCTGTGGCCCATGTGCACCCTCATGTATAAACACACGAATAAATGTTATTTTAAAAAGTGGTTTTAAATCCCATACAGGTAGCATCACAAAATATAAGACCAAACTTAGACAAGAGCCCAGGACAGAAAGTAAAGCACAACACAGGGTGGTAAGACAGGAAAGCAATAATAGAAACTCAAACTGAGACCAGTGAAAACAGCAGTTCTCAGCCTGTGGGTCAAGACTCCTGGGGGGGAGGGGGGAATCAAACCAACCTTTTACAGGGATTGCATATCAGATATTTAAATTATTATAACAGTGGCAAAACTACAGTTATGAAGTAACAACAAAAATAGTTTTATGGCTGGGGGGGTCACTCACCACGACATGGAGAACTGCAGAATTAAGGAGCTTGAGAACCACGGAGCTGAAAGCCTAGTGGGGATATCTCCAGGAAGTAAAGCAGTTGTGATTTTTAAAAGACTGCATGTATGCATGTGTGTGTGTGTGTGTGTATTTTTTTTCTCAAAATAAAAATACCTAGTATATTCTTGGAAATTGTACTCTTCCCAAAATGTTAAGTGCTCTAAGAGTTGTCACTCACCACCCAGGGGACTGCCCCAGCCTCGGCAGAGGGCTCGCTGGAAGGGGTGATGATGAGGAATTTACAAAGAGAAAACGTCCTTTAGGCTTCAGAAGCACAAGCCTCTCATAGATGACCCCTGCCGCCTTGGCAAAAGCTCAAGTGCCTACCCTGCTTCCGCAAAGCAATCTCAGGAGATCTCCAAACTGTTTGCAGGTTTCAATTTGATAGCACTGGTTCACAAGAAAGCCATTTGCGTTTTAGTAAATGATGCTAGCTTTGAAGCCATGATTTCTAACTTGATCAGCTGTGTGAACTCACAAGAGACACGCACACAGGAGACAACACCAGCAGCAGTGGCAGCTACAGCCCAGGCCTACCGCAGGGAACATCCATGACTCCACACAAACCACCTAGGGACGCTCAGGCCTTCATCTAAACAGCTCTTACTGTTTCTCCACTTTCTCAACCATTGAAAAGATTATTAGCTACAAAAGAAATCCTAGAGAATAATTAGCAGCTCAGTTAAAGAACACAGTTTAAAATCTTACTGAGGCTGTAGCTCCGTTGTTAGAGTACATGCGTGAAGCGCAGAGTTTAGCCTGGCATAAAGCCAGTACAGTAGCTCACACATGTAATGCCAGCACTGGGGACAAGGTAGACAAGGAGGATCAGAAACTTGAGGTCATCCTCATCAAGTTTGAGACAATGTCTCAAGGAAAACACCAAGAAGGACCTGACACTCAAAATGACTTTCTTACAAATCAGAACAAAATTTTAAAAAATATTACAAATCGGATCAACACTAAGAACAAATTCATACAAAATAGAATCACGAGGGTGGACCAGACAGCTCAGTGGGAAGATGCTCACAGCTCAAGCCTGGCAACCCGAGGAGAGACGAACTCCACAAAGTTGTCTTTAAGCTCCACATGCACACGTCATGCAGTCACACACACAGAATAAGTCAACAAAACAGCAACACGAAATTTTGCTTTTAAGTCACCAATCACGGTTTTAAAACATGAGTGTTTTAAAAGCAAAATACTTTACTTAGCTTCCATCCTGAATGTCTGCGCATGCTCACTGTGTATATCTAGCAAGTATTCGCCAGTAACTCCTACCAGTAAATTGAAAGCCCAATGAAAGCATGCCTTCCATTCAAGGATGATCCTGGTTTTACTAAAGTTTTTGGTTCTTCATGGTTTACTATCAATTTACACAAAGCATCACAACTTCCTTCCACCTTGACTCAACGACGCAAAAAGAAAGCCAAGTGGTCAGCACACCCTTTGGAAGCTGGCTAGTTTTCACGCTGAAATGTACACAAATATACTCAGCCTGTGTTACACAATAGCCCCCCCAAAAAAACCCACCATCTTTTAAGGGTTTAAATTTATAATTTAAAACAAAAATTATTCTGTTAAAGCCACAAGTTATTTCCTGAATTGCTTTGCCAAAAGTCCAACACAAAATTACAACAGAGTAAGTCTGAGGATCTCGTGTTTCTTTTCATGCCAAGCTCTAGCATGTCACACCTGTAATGAGGTTATTCCAGCAGAGCAATTTCTAGACCAAATTTCTAAAGGCTGACATCACCCATAGCCAGCTTACAAAAGGGGTACTCCTTCACCTTAACTTTGCAGTTTGCTTCATACACATAAGCGCCCACATCGTGGAACTCTAGTACTTCTCAACAGTTCTGAGCTTGCTGCATACCACACCCACAGCGTACGTATACATTTCCTCGGATATTTGGTGTTAGCACCAAACACGCACAGACCACAGAAGAGAAGCAAAATTCTATAACAGAAAATACAAGACAGAAGTTAGGAGAATTTTAAGAAGACAATACTCCATAGGCAGCTCACCTGCAGTTTGGCGGAGGGTCTAAAGTGATGTCTGCCAGCTCCTTCTGGATCCTGGGAGATCAGGAAACAGAAAGTTAGTTGGAGGCCGGTCCCAGAACCAGGTCTGCAGCCCACCTTATTCTATCCACTGAGGGAGAGGCAACCCAGGGCTCCCAGGCTGGGGAGACTTTCCAGTGCAGGGCACAACTCTAGATCTCTCCCACCCTTGACAGCATCGGGCTTTCAATACTGCCAAGCATACTAGGGCAGTTGTGCTGGGTGTTTTCTACCTAAGAATAGTTGTCGTCCCCCTCCACTCTGGCCAGGACCATCGGTATGTAGTACCAGGCCACTTGGTCCCCTAAACTCCACTCTGCACGCAGGCCCCACCCCTAGAGCAGGCCCACAACTGAGTCTCCCAGCAGACCCTGACCAGCACCCCTCCTCAGGTAGGGACACCTCCCCTAGGCCTGGACCTCGCAGACCAGCGCAGCCCCCCCCCTCCCCGCAGGCCGGCACCCGCACACCAGCGCCCCCCGCAGGCCGGTACTTCTCAGGCCCCGACCTGCACCAGGAGCAGTGACCTCCCAGCACAGCCAATATGGCCGCTCGGGCCCTAGTGACCGCCACCGGCGAGGGTCGAGAGGTCCAGGAAGTGCTCGGTGGAGCTGAGGGCGGCCAAACCCAGGCCGCCCCGCACAGGTGCACTGCCACCTGCGCCCTCGGCGCGCCTGCCCGCTGCCCGCCGCCAGCCCCGAACTTCCCGGTACCCGGCCGCGGGCTCGCCCGGCCTCCGCCTCCTCGGCACCTCACAAAGAGCCCATCCCCCAGCCTGAGGCCGAAGCCACTGACAGTTCACACGGAGCCGGCCTTTGTCTTCTGCTTACCTAGGCGCTTAGGGCACCAATGGAAACGACAAACTTTGGGGCCTTAAGCTGCTTCTCCTAAAGGGAAACTATTTTTATAACTACTCCTCCTACCAGGCTGTTACAACTTAAAAAAAAACCCACCAAGGCAGCTCGGTAGTAAAAATAAGGCCAACACACTCGGCAATCTGAATGACAATGGATGTTTTTCCCTTTCCCAAGAAAGTTCTCCAAGAGTAGGAAGAGGCCAGCTATAACGCGTTGACATTTTTAGCAGGCACTTCTTCCACGTGAAAAGGAAAAATAAATTGAGTAGTGACTGGGGAAGTTCTTCAAACTTTCCTATTGAGGGGACTTCCGGTCTCTACAAGTGGGGTCCAGTTTAGAACACCCAGTCTCTATGACATCTATCAGTGCCCTGCTGAATTCTACGGCTCCCAGTAGGCATTTCAGTCCCTAGACATCTGCATCTGTTTCGTTCACATCAGGATGTCAGACTAAAGTCTGGAGCGCCAGTTTCCTGACTCTTGCACCTATTGGAACTGACCATTTCAGATCTGTCAGAAAGCAAACATGTCCTCCTTCGGAGTTGTAAAGACAGCTGCTCCTTTAGAACTTAGTCGCTGAAATGCCATGCTGGCGAGATGGCTCAGCAACCAGTGCCTGTCAGCATGCGTGCTGACCCCTGTTCAATCCCTGGAACCTACACATGGAAGGAGGGCCAACTCCAGCAATTCGGCCTCTGACCTCCACATGTGCCTTGACATGCCTGAACACACACACCACACGAATACACACAAAATAAAATTATGATGCCACACGATTGCACACAAAACTAAAATTATGGTGTTATTTTTAACGAAGGCAATACCAGGCAGTTTTACCCATTCAATCTTAACCACTACCATGTGCACCGTTCCCAGAGTGGGAATCAAAGATCTACAAGGGCCTCAAAGGCCTGTCCCAGAGTGAAGCGAGATCCACACTTCCCACTGGGGCTTTCCTCTGCCCCTGGTTTAGAAACCACTTTCCACAGTGAGTGAAATTCCTAAATCTGGGACTCTGGCTTCACTTTCACACCACCTCCTGGTCCACAAGCCCCTTCCAAACCAGTGTATTTAGATTCTACATCTACCAATGATGTAGGGCAGGCTCGTCAAACACCGGTCCTGATCCTCCTGTTCATTCTTTCCTAGACACATTTTTTGTCTTTTGATGCAAACCTTAGCTTTGTTTAACACAGATAGCTACTGTGTCAGCACGGTGTCTAGGAAGCTAAATGTGCTGCATTAAAAGATACATAAAACATGTTCGTGTACAGGCAAAATTATTATTTACTATTTCCCGCTTCTATTTCTACTTCCCACATTTCTTTACCAGCTGCTCCCAAATAAGGTCTCAGGCTGGCAATCAGAATGACAATGGATGTCTTCTGACAGCAGAACTTCCCTGGTCACCATTCAATGTGTTTTCCCTTTTACTGGGGAAGAGATGCCATCTAAAAATGGCAGTGCTTCGTACATTATAGCTGGCTTCTTCCTACCCTCCAAAAACATCTATTGTCATTCAGATTGCTGAGCCTGGACTACATGAGACCCTGACTACAGGAGACCCTGTCTCCAGCTCAAGTATGCGTAGCCAAGCATGACTGTGAATTGCTCTTCCTGCCTGGCGGAGCCCTGAGATTACAAATCTGTGCTACCATGCCTGATGGTGCTGGGGACTAAATCCAGGGCTTCATGCACGCTAGGCCAGCACACTGCCATCTCAGCTACTAAATAGTTTGTTTTTTTGTGAGATGGTCTTCCTATCTATACCCAGACCTCATGGAACTCTCTATGTAGAACAGGCTGACTCTGAACTCACCTGAGATCTACCTGCCTGCTTCTGTTTCCAAGGGCGGAGTTGACAAAAGGCCTGGATTACCATGCCCAGAACGAAGTTTTTAACTTTGTTAAAATAGGCAAACTGTATCCATGGGGAAATCCAATTATTTATACTGACAAAGCAAATGACGTTTACCACCTGTCCATTTCCCTTCCAGTGTAGTCACAAGCACACCAAGGGCCTCCTAACACAGTACAAAAGCTCCACTGACCTAAGGGGCAGCTCAGAAGCAGAATGAGTGAGGATGGAGAGCTTAGAAGTGCTGGGGGAGAGAAGGACCATCCTTAGCAATAAGGGCAGAACTCAGGCTCCTAGAGGTTTCACCTGGGTTAAATCAAAAGAGCCAGTCAAGACTCTGAAGAGCCAGAGATACAATCAAACCAACCCTCTGAAAAACACAAACAATCTTACCAAGGCATCTCAATCCTCTCTCTCAAGACCTGAACGCTAACTATTTAGATGGGCTAAAGTCACCCCACCAGCCAGTCAGATCACTACAACAGCACACCAAGCCTGTGAGTTTCAGGGAGAATGACAGAACCAACTGTCAGTCTCTGAGTTCCAGGCGCACTACTCAACAGACAGAGCCAAAACCACTTAGATACCCCATTTCATCTTAAACTCTTTAAAGAATGATATCCCCCAAGCTAGCCCACAGCTTCCGTTCTTGACTGTGGTCAGCTATCTCAATGAAAAGAGATGGATTAATGAAAGGGATTCCCGGGTACCTGCTAGGGATGATTCACAGTACAGGGATCAGAGAGTGTTACTTAAGGCGGACAGAGGCGAAGCATCCACCTGTCTTTTTACACAAGAGACTAACCCTAGGTGTAGTGTCCTAGCCATCAGGAAGGCGGAGGCAGGAGTTGTGCTGTGAGTTCAAGGCCAGCCTTGGCAATGGAATAAGACCCTGTCTGAAAACATGACAACAAAGTCTCCCTGAAAACTATCGAATGGAAGTTCTTAAACAGAAAAAAATAAACAACAACAAAAAAACCTATCCCCCCCCCAAAAAAAAATAGCTGAAATAATCATTTTACATTTACTGATCCATTCATTTGCCCCAAACCGGAAAAGGCTCTTCAAATTCCACCAGAAAACACCACCTCAATTTCTTAACCACTAATGGGAGCTGGTTATTCCTTAAGCAAGTTACAAAGGAAAAACTCTATTCAGAAAACATCACCCCTGCAACAGGTGAGGAGGAGCCATGGTCGAGAGTTCCCAGGAAGGTCTCCTTAATCATGAAGGAGGATGCCAGCCTCCGGGAAGTCGCAGATTCGTGATTACTAGGAAGAGGACTCTGAAATCACAATCAGACTCACTCATAAAAGTAATGAGGATTCTTGAAACTTCAACGAGGCATGGACGAGGCCAGCCAGAACTCCTGCATATGGACAAGGAAGGGTACTAACAAAACCAGAAACAGCAAGCAGCAGAGAAAACAGGTGGGACTCCCATGCCCCATTTTCCTGCCAGAGAACACAGGAGAACGTTGTCGTTGAAGCCACCCTCCCTGACATGCAGCACGAGGCAACTGGGAAGCCAGGACGCCTGTGGGGAAGGGAGTGGGGTACCTCTTGGCGCTGGTGGAGAGGAGCTTCGAGTTTTTGCTCATGCTGACTTTACTCTCCTTCTTCTTGGGGGTGCTGGCTTCTTTCTCGGTCTGCTGGTTGGAGGACGAAGATGAAGAGGAGCTGGTGCTGGCCCTCGAATCGTCATCCGACATAGCGAACCCCCCACCCCACCCCGCGAACGGCCCCTGCAGGGGGAGGAAACAAAACAGAAACACAGACCATGCAGGCGCCGCAAAGAGGGAACTCCGCTGTCAGGAGGGCGCGGGCCGGGCCGCCCCCGCCGCCCTGCAGAGGATCGGGGCCCACCGCCACACCGGCCGAAGGGACGCGGGGGCCGTGATCGCGCGGGGGGGGGGGGCGGGCGGCCCGGGGAGGGCCGGGAGCCGCCGCCGCGGTCCCCGAGGCCTCCCGGTGTCCGCTCGAGTTCGGCGAGGTCGGGACTAGCCGAGCCGGGGAGAGTGGGTGAGGAAGCCGAGCGTGGGCCGCGTGGGCCGCGGGGGACACGGCGCCCGGCCAGGCCCGGCCACGCGGGGCTGCGCTCGCACAATGCGCCCCGGGCGGGCGGGTCCCCGCGGGGGGACCGGGCCGCGCTGACAGTTCGCGCGGTCCCCGCCGCCCCAGCCCCGCCGCCTCATCCCCGCCGCCCGGGCCCTCGGCGCCCCCGGCCCGGCCCTTGCTGCCCCGCGGCCCGCCCGTGCCCGCCCGCCCCCGGCCCCGCGGCCCCAGGCCCCGCTCGCCCGCCCGCCCGCCCCGGGGGCCCCCCGCACCTCTCTTTGTGTCTGGCTGCTCCGTGCCGCCGCGGCGGCTGCTGCTGCGGCTGCGGCTGGGCCTGGCCACTCGTGTCTCGCTCTCGCTGGGAGAGAAGCGGAAGTGCAGCAACAGCAACTATTAACCAGGCAATGGCTTCCCCGGCCGCACACGCTCCGCGCCACTCCTCCTCTCCGCCCCGCCCCGCGCCCCTCCCCCGCCGCACCTGGGGGCCGCGGCCCGGAGCCCCGAGCGACCCCGGCGGCGGGGCCTGGGGGACCCGGAGCCGGGCGGAGCCGCGGGAGCCGGCCCGGATGGGGGGTACCGGAGAGGGAGGACGTTCTCCCCCAGTGGGGCTTTAGGAAAGGGCTGGGGGGTGGGGATGAGGTGGCCGGTGTGGTGGGGAAAGATGGTACTCTCCTGGCGAGGACTTTGACTCCTCCTCAAAAGTGATCGGTTTGAAGAAAAAGAAAGAAAAAAAATTTTTTAAATCCCCTAACAGGGTTTTCCTTCGGGCTGACACTTGTTTCTCCCTCTGGCAATTTACTTGCTAGGAGCAGAGGTCACGCCTATGAGAAAAATCCCAGACTAGGTTTCTGTTCAGGACACTAGGCGTGAGCAATTTACAACATTAGATACACCCCTTCACTTGTTATAGAAAAGGATGTGGTGGGTTTTTTTCTTTCTTTCTTTTTTTCCACTGTATGCGATTGGAGTTCGTGACAGGTAGCTGCGATCTGTAACCGGGCTTGGGAATTGTAAAATCACTGGGAATAAACCTTAAACCGCTGGTTTTTGACAGGATTTGGAATGCTTAAATTAGGCATAAAGTCTGTGTTTTAGAAATTGGGGAGAAAGTTCTAGAAAGCACCTTACGCACTTTTTGCTCCAATACGATGCTATTCAAACAATGTGTTTAGAATAATCACACGGTAATGTCACTAAAGGTTTCCTTTCGTGGCACTGTACCAAAACTTATTTTTTAAAAACATTCCACCATTAAATTAGGACTTAGTTTCTTACCCGTTTGTCGTTTGCCCTGAAGGTTTACAAACAGATACCTACAGTCCAAGTACAATCAGGTGCCACAGACACAAGATCCTGGGCACTGCCCAGACTATCACACTCAGATTTCCATGGTCCACTTTAAATGATCTCATTCAAATTGTCATTGCTTCCCAAGGCAATAGGGTCTTCAGGTCCCGTAACACAGGATATAAAGAAAGCTCGTGGCATATCCAGTGTCCAGGAGAGCAGACAGTCTCACTATCCGGCTAAACCCCCCTAGCCTTCAATTTGAAACTCCAGCTGTGTTGAGATTCATAAAGTAATGGTGCACTTTATTTACCCAGACTTTAAGGAAACCTGTATCCCATAGGAGTCCTCTTCAAACTGTGTGTAAAATACCCGTGAGACTTCTACAGGTCATCGTTTGAGCCTCCTGTCTGCAGAAAGAGCTGTTTCTCCACTACCCAAAGCATCTGAATTTTGAAGAAATCCCCACTTGCGTTTGCTTTTATATGTGCTGGTAGAGTTTATAGATGATAATAACATTGGCAGGCAGACGCAAGCAGACCTCTTTGAGTTTAAGGTCAGTCTAGTCTATATAGTAAGTTCCAGGCCATCCATAGGTACATATTGAGATCTTGTCTCCAAAAACATCACAGAAAGCTAGAAATTAGTAAAAGAAGATAGCTATGTACTCAGAATATTCTGAAGTAAAGATTATTATTTATTTTTTAAAAAAAATTAATTTAAAAAACTGTTAATTGTGTACGTAGACCAGGCTGACCTTGAACTCACAAAGATCTTCCTGCCACTTGGAATTAAAGACATGCACCACCATATCCAGCTTCTAGCTTTTCTGCTTTTTCTTTCAACAGTTTTGTAAACTTAGCCCAGAGCCTTAACACAAGTTGGACAAATTCTCTACACCCTGCCTAGGTTGACTGATGTACTTAGCTACAAGGCCTGAGGCCCTAAACTGACCTCCCTGGCCTCAGTTTCATCTTATACAGAAGGCAAGAATACCCACATCATACTGACGGGTGGGATTAAATGTCTATCTATAACCAACATGGTCGATTAACTATTCTGCAAAGTAAATGAGTAATTCCACCCTGGGCCTGCTTCTAGGATCTTTCAGACCTAGAATTAATGATGAGTAGTTTGGGAAAAAAAAAAAAAAACCTCATAGTCAGAAGGTCAAGGCGGTGTCTTGAGTTTAAGGATACCCTGGGTTACAGGTGCCCAGGCTGTCACAAAATAAATAGATGAAATTTAGAAAGAAAGAAAGAAACCATTTCGGAGAAAAGCAGAGCTGAGAAATGAGGATGTTCACTCCCAGAAGGGCTGAGACTACATTCTAGCTTACACTCATGTTTCTGTTGAATAAATGAAGGTGGAGAAAGCTTATGAATTTTTTTTTAAACCTTTGTTTTTGTTTTTGTGTTTTTGATTTTTAGTTTCTCGAGACAGAGTTTCTTCCTGTAGCCTTGGCTGTACTGGAACTAGCACTGTAGACCAGGCTTGCCTTGATCTCCTAGAGATCTACCTGTCTCTGCCTCCAGAGTGCTGAGATTAAAGATGTGTACCACCACGGCCCAGCTAAGCCTGTGGGTCTCCTTCAAGATCATGCAGTAAATACAAAGCTGATGGTTCACCATCCACATGTGACCTTGTCAGTTCCCGCAGTATTGGTGAGGAAGAAAGACCTCAGTGACTGTAAAGAGAAAGTATTAAATAAAACAGAGCTCTGAGAATATTATCAAGAATGCACTAGCTGGGTGGTGGTGGCGCACACCTTTAATCCCAGCACTCGGGAGGCAAAGGCAGGCAGATCTTTGTGAGTTTGAGGCCAGCCTGGTCTACAAGAGCTAGTTCCAAGACAGGCTCCAAAGCTACAGAGAAACCTCGAAAAAAAAAAAAAAAAAGAATGCACTAATGTACTTAGTGGATATGAAGTACTATGTACTATATGCAGTAGGTATGGTGGCGTGCATATGCCTGTAATCCCAGCACTTGAGAGGTGGAAGCAGGAAGATCAAGAATTCAAGAGTAGGCAGGTCAGGAGGAGTTCAAGACCAGTCTCCTATACAAAGCAAGTTCAAGGCAAACCTGGACTACATGAGACTGTTTTAAAAAAATAAATAAAAAAGAAAATTAATTCATTAGCAATACCAACCAAGAGAGCTGAGAAAGTGGGGAGATGGGAGCACAGTGTCCTCTGTTCACATTCTCTATCCCGAGGACAATCATTATTCATTTTACGTTTATGGATATGTTTCCATGTTTTCTTTGTAAAAGAATAATAACCATTATCTCCCTACTTCCCCATTCCCAGTTTCCCCAGAGGTAGCTGCTTCCTGTTGTAGGCTCTGGGAGTGCAAGCAAATGTTACAACCCCATTAAATGCCATGATTGGGCTGCTCCATTTACACTAAAAAAAAAAAAAAAAAAACAAGTTTATGTAACTGGGAGCTGACATCCCAAAGGCATAGTGAGCCCGACTCTGCATTTTACCAAATTCAAGGCCAGACTGAGCAATAGAGAGAGAGAGCCGTCCGGAAATATGAGCGAGCGCATGTGCGTGCGCGCGCGCACACACACACACACACACACACAACTGGCAAGGACTTTACATTTGATAATATAGCTAGGGATGGTAGCTCAGGTCTGTAATTCAACACTCACAAGGCTGAGACGGAAGGATCACCCCAGGCCATCCTGTGCTACAATAGTGAGTTCCGCTGCAGTCTGGGCTTGAGACCCTGTTTCAAAAACAAAAACGAACAATAATTGCAAGAAATTGGATATGTAGGTAGATGGGTAAATAGTTAGATAGATGATAGGTAGGTGGTAGATAGATAGGTACCTAGAGACAGACAGATAGATGGTAGACAGGCAGATAGATGATAGGCAAGTAGATAGACAGGTAGATAGATAGATGATAAGTAGATAATGCCTGTTTTCTTTTCCTTTTTGATTGCTTTGTGGTTTGGGTGTGTTTTGTTTTCTATTGTTTGAGACTAGGCCTCCCTATGGAGCACAGAGTGGCCTGTACCTTGCAATCTTTTTACCTCAGCATCTCAAGGTCTGGGATTAGAGGAGTTTATCACCACACCAGGCTCTCTTAACATAGTTTTAAAAACTTCTTTGTAACCAGATAGAAAAGATTTCCTTTTGCCGTCAAACAAACAAAACCTTCTCGTGTTTGGAATTTTACGAGGGTTTCTTCAAAGAGGAGCTCACTGCGGGCTTCACTTACAGTCTCCCATGGTCGAACATCGTGGACTTTTTTTTATTTTCATTTTTTAAAAAAATATTTATCTATGTTGTGAGTTCATGTATGTATGCGTGTGTATGCACTCGCGTGAGTGCGTGTGTGCGTTGCATGGTGTAAACATGTGGAAGAAAGAGGACAAGCTGTGGAATCCGTCCTTCTATTCTTCTTGAGGGTAAGGTCTTTCTGCCGAATGGAATGCCCTGCACACTTCGGTCACAGGACACAGTTAAATCAAGCTGCGGCTGACCTGGAAACTTGCTCGCTGATGGCCAGTTTTCGTAGTACCAAGGAGTGTGATGTGGGTTGCTGGCAGTGAAGGGCATTGGTGGTATTACCCAGCTCTGTACCCTGTGAGATACAACTACCAGCCTGGAAAGACATAAGTAATGTGGCATGAATGCTGCGGCGGGGGAGGGAGGGAAGCGGGGGGGGGGGGGGGGGGGGGGGGGNGGGGGGGGGGGGGGGGGGGGGGGGGGGGGGGGGGGGGGGGGGGGGGGGGGGGGGGGGGGGGGGGGGGGGGGGGGGAGGGTGAGGGAAGCTGGGGGGAGTAACCAACTGCTCTTTGGTTAGCTTTAAGACCTGCTCCACGGAGGAAATTCATGCCTGATACTATAAACCTTGTCAAGTATCTACTTTGGGGAAAGATCATAGGTCTAAAGAGAATCTACTACTATTATTTTGCTAAATGGACATAGTATCAAACTGCCTTCTCTATGGGGACACTTGTCTTATACCTATAGATCGTGTGCCTTTAAGACTTAATCAGAGATGCTTCTTTTTGCAGGAGACCCACAACTGGCTGATGTCAGAGGATAAGAGCTAGGATCTAAATAGTGTTTCTACACCCCTTACCCCTGAAGCTCAAGGAACATTATGGAAGAAGAAGCAAAAAAAGTGTGAGAGTCAGAGAGGCCGGGTGGATTGCTATGAAGCAGCATTTTTGGACATGACTTAGCCAGGGAACCTAGGAACTAACCGCACCTGCAGAAGACCTTCCCAAGATGACACATGATTGGCCCTGTCGACATTTCATCGTGAAAGGGTTAGTGAGGCCCCACAGCATCCTGAGCGAGTTTTGAGAGTT